TCTCTGTGATTTGTCCACATCATTTTGTCACTCTGCATCTCCACTGATAAGTATCTAAACAAACAATAGATCAACTATTGCAGTTTGGGTCACAGAGGTTTTCCTCACTTGAGGCTTCTTACTGTGTTCTTGTTGCCTCCTTGTGATATTTTCCTTTGCTGTGACAGATTGATTTGATTACTTTAGTTTTTAGTTTCACTACTAGAACTGGAATTAAAATGTAACTTATGTTTACAACTTTTCACAGGTTCAAATGAAACAATCAATCCAGAGAAAAACTTTGTGATAAATTTCAAGTCACTTGTAGACCGGTCAGTGGAGACTCTCAGTCTGTGGCAAGTTCTTAATGAACACAACATTGAAGATGTCATACTTCATCTTGATACTGTAAGACATTTTGTCTTTGATTATTTTTGTTATTAAACTGATTAAACAGTGAATTTCTTATATTAGTGGGTTTAAATGGAGGGGGAACATTACAATTTAAGCAAACCTTTGAATTTAGCAGGCAGTATAGCAAAGTATGGCCTGATATATTGACCAATCATAGCATACGTACTAACTGAGATATAATTCTAGGAAATAATTTCTAATCTTAGTTATTTGAGCAAGTCTGGTGTTTGTTAAGTCATTGTTGTGTTTTAATTTCAGACAATAAGGGATCGTTTAAAGCATGTCAAATTTAGAGACCTGGCAACTAAGGGGCAGGAGGTAACCATGGCAATTGTGTTTGTTCAAACAAATTGAGTAAAATTTATGTAGACTTTGCTTTGCTCAGGAGGAACATATTAGGAAGTTATTTAAGTATTAATGATAATTATTTTTCTGGACAATGCAATGCAATGCAATGCAATGCTCTTTCTTATGTGCCAGTCCCCCCCCCTTTTTTCCCTGTGTATAGATGCTGAATTCATCTTAACAGATCATGGATGTAACTCTTATCAGGGGCTAAAATTCTGTTTGTTGGGTGTCTGCACAGTTGGCAAATGGATTTGAGATTTGTTTTTGTCATCAAACTTTTCAGAGAACTTCATGATTTTGACTGCAAGTTCACATTTGGTTACTACATGGGTAAGAAATGTGCTTTTTTGTAATTGATGCAGCAGAAAACTAATGTCAACTGTATTTCCTGTAGATCTGCAGTGCCCTCATTGCATCATTGATCAACTGTTATCTGGATGACGGCACCTCTACAGATATTATCAGTGAGAAGTTGAGGGAGGTCTGTCCACATTTATTCAGCAATGATGATGCAGTGTCTTCAAAGGTACAACTTTATCAGGATAAAAACAGTCTGTAAAGCTTCTCTGAAAATATCAAAGGTTTTGAACCTAACTGAGGAGTCTTAGAATACACTTTGCAACCACATATTTGTAGAGAGGTCATTATAGAGTGGAGATTGCAAAGTTGTCTTGCTACTTCCCAAAATTCTCCAAATAAATTTCTATACCTTGGGCTACTTTTTATTCAAAGGTGGAGAATATTCTCTTTTTACTTTACACTATTCTTCTGCTACCACATTTCCTAACCCTGTACACCCTAATATCAATATCCATCTTCTCCACCTTTTCTCCCTAAATTTCCTAAGGTGCTTACATGGAGAATTTGTTTAATTATCATGATCATCTTTAGTTGATCATCATTTTCTTTAATCATGTGACCTTGTTGTGTGATTCAGGGGTGACAATGTAATGATAAATCAGGTGCTAGTTACTCTTAAGAGATCAAAGGGTTAATGAAATCTCTGCCTATTGATGAAAGATTTAGACTGATTGGTTTGTAAAGTAATGCACTTATTGATTTTTTAAATTCCCTTTTAGGCTGGTGAACTTTTAATGCTGGCTAAACAAAGTAAAGACAAAGCAGAACAAGAAAGTATTCTTAAAGATGCTCTCCGTGTAAGTAGTGGCTTGCCCTTTATTTATGGCTACTGCATTTGCCAAAAGAATTGAAGCTTGAGACTAGACTTTTATTTTAATTACTAGGAGAATGGCACTTACATGCTTTGTCTCAAGTTTAACCTTGTCTAGATTTCTTTTCATATGGTTCAAAACAAATAGCAGAATTCCTTGTTTCTGCTCTCCATACATTGTTAAAACTAAGCTTCTTGTGATCATGTTCACGTAGAGATACAATATAGCTCTCACCTTTGCTGTAACCTTAACCTTTAAACCCCAACATCAATATCCAAATTCTCCATACTCTTCTCTATACATGTCATAAGGTGCTGACGAGGAGACTTTTTAAACAACTGAGAGCTTCTTTAGCTGGTGATCAGTTTTCTTATCCTCACAACCTTACTTTATGATTCAGGGGTTATATTGTAAGGAGAAATTAGATGCTAGTCACTCTTAGGAGTCAAAGGGTTGATTAAAGCAACAAAATAGAATGTAACAGGCAATCTTTAAAACATCCAGGTAATAAAACCATCTGGCAAGTTTTAAAGTTATTTTTTTTTCATTCTTCTGTTTTTTTTGTTTTTTTGTTTTTTTTTTTGCTAGCGTTATCGACAAGTGACCCATCAGATCAACCTGGAATTGATTTGTTCTTTGTTTGAATCAGGTAATATAATATCTTCAAACTCGTTCAGTGATAATAATTGATTTACCGCTAGCCAATTTGTTTTTAGGGTGGTAGGGGTGGCACAGTAGTGTAAGCACTCGTCTCTCACCACTGAGACCTGGGTAGAGTTTGTTGTTGGTTCTCACTGCGAGACTTTTTCAATAGTCTCTCCGCTTTTTACCCCTTAACAAAGACCATCACTCTCAATTTCGATTTTTAACATTGGACGAAAAGCCACATCTTGGAAGTGCCGCTGTTAAATTTGGAAACCTTTAAATATTTATTAACTATTTTTTGTTTGTTTTTAAAGTGAGATTCTATGATGGAGTTGTGGAGTTATCTTTGTATGCTGCGCTAAAACGAGATCCCCAGGGAATGGCTTTACACTTCTACAGGAATGGAGAGCCACATGGTGATATGCAAGGACGGGAAGCGTTTATTGCCAGGTATTTTATCCCAGTCTATCTCTGCAACGTTTAACTGTTTCACAAGAAGTCACCTTATCAGTTTTGGAGAAAGTCTGATGACTTCGTGGGAACAAAAGTGAGCCCGCGAATAGGCACGAACGTTTCTTGCCCGCGAGAAACTGAGTATGAGGCCTTGAGCAACACGAGGCGGCGGGAGATCTGCAAGGGGTCTGACACTGATAATTAGTGCCAGACCCCCTCTAACCTCTTCCCGACTCGTCTCAAATCCTCCCGCGTGTTGAGAAATGCTCGTCTTGCAGAGCTAATAATAGGAACCAGTTCGGAGGGTAGAACACAGTCTCCACTCTTCCCTTCCTTCTCCGCTCAGGACCGTAGATCGTCATTGGTAAAAACAAAACTGAAGACATAAACGTAACTGATGTTTATAAATATTCCCTTTGTTTTTCAACTATTATGTTGGACAAGTCTTTCTTTTTCTAGACAACAGTGCTACAAGTGCATTCTGGACTGTCTCCAACGTCTTCTTGTCATCAAAACAACTCCTTCTCAATCACCCGGACTACCCTCACGACCAGGGCCTCCTCCGGCCCCAGACCCCAGTGCTCTGACACCGCATGATGCTGAAAAGCATGTAAGTTCTTATGAAAAAAAAAGTCTGCTTTCTGTCAGGTTTGTAGGCAGCGCTTGATTTCCAGATGAATCTTTTTAATCTTTTTCCTAGATGGAAGATGTGTTATCATCTTCATTGTCTTACGGGGATGAATTATGGCATGTTATTTTGTATCAATGGTTGATTGACAATGGACTGACTGAAAGGCTGTTGGAGGTAAGTTCTATTTTCGTGTACCTTCTTATCATTCCAAGAGTCCTTGCATTTTCTTTATTCCTCAACCATTCTCCATTTGTTTCACGGGAAAAGTCGGACACCAAGTCGTAATCGGTTTAGTTTTGTATCTAATTGGGTCAACAGGTGGCGCGAGTTTATAAACCAATCACAGAGCAGTGAAGGAGAACAGAAGCCGTCTAGTATTTCTGTTGGCTCTCGGTTGATATTTTCTGTGCCATCAT